AAACAGATCAGCAGCAACATGAAACAGATCAGCAGCAACATGATGTGGTTTTTCACAGTGATTATTCTAGTTAGAGATTCATGAGTCTAACAGCCTCAGGGTAGAAGCTGTTCCTCAGTCTAGTGGTTCTACACTTAATGCTTCTCAACCTCCTTCCTGAGGGGAGCGGGGCAAAAAGTGTGTGTGCTGGGTGAGTGAGGTCTTTCATGATGCAGGTGGCCCTCTTCCTGCATCTGGAGGTGTAGATGTCTGTGATGGTGGGGAGACTGATTCCAACATCTTCTGTGCAGCCTTCACCACTCTCTGCAAAGCTTTTCTTTCTGCAGCTGTGCAGCCTCCATGCCACACATTGATGCTGGAGCACAGGATGCTCTCCACTGCACACCTGTAGAAGGAGGTGAGGACTGAGCTTCCAGACCAGCTCGTCTCAGCCGCCTGAGGAAGTAGAGTCTCTGATGAGCTTTCTTGATCAGGCTGGTGGTGTTGTTGCTCCAGCTGAGGTTGTTGTTCAGGTGTACACCTAAGTACCTGTAACTGGAGACCACTCCCACCGCAGATCCTCTTATGTTCAGGGGGTGTAGGTGTGTTTGTTCCTTCTGAAGTCCACAGTCATCTCCTTCATCTTCTTCACATTGATGTGAAGGTTATTCTCTTTGCACCAGCTCTCCAGGTGTTCCACCTCCTGCCTGTAGCTGGACCCATCATTGTTTGTGATGCATCCCACCACCACTGTATCATCCGCAAACTCTACAATGTGACCAACAATGTGATTCAACAGGAGGCTCGGACCTGTTTGATTAGTTAAATCCAGGTGAAGACTTGTTTTTTGGCCAGGCAGTGTAATAAGAGGCAGTTTTTTACGGCACGCGTTTTGAGTGAAACCACATCCCCACCCCACACACACACACTCTACCGCCTCGCTGAATCCGGAGGATTTTCAACCCACTTCTTACAGTGGAGGTTTTTTGTTGGACTGCCCGCTGTTATGTACACATCTCCTGCAGAAATGTTCAGTAAAGCACATGTGCATTACAGGAGTATATTTCATGCACACACAGACCAACGGCATATTTCTTTCAACAACAATGGTGCCAGAGTATGACATCCTGCTTTCTGTGCCATGACTGATGGAATATATTTTGAGTCTCGTAGTTAATCTTAACCAAGATGGTCGCACTTAGCCGAGTCGCAGCTTCACAGGTTCCTGGTGAACGCAATTGTTTTTTGTTCCTGTTGTTTTTGTCTTACCCTTTTTTTGCACCTACAATACACATCCACAGTACGGGAATAACCGCGACACACTTGTGGGGTTTTCTGTGTCGCTGCCTTGCCATCATGCAATTCAGCTGTTCACCTCCACCTCACAGAGAAGGGACACTCTTTTGAGGACCAAAATGTGCACATTTTGGACCGAGAACACAGATGGTTTGAGAGGGGGGTGAAGGAAGCAATTTATGTAAAAAGGGAAAAACCATCTCTTAACAGAGGAGGAGGCCTCAGATTTCCACTTTCAAAAACCTATAATGCAACTTTAAGACTGATTCCCAGCCGGTTTTCACACTTGATGGGAACAGAGGGGCCTCGTCTGTGGATTAGAGGAACAAAGACCTTAAGAAACCCCTACTGTTAAGGTGTTGAGGTGTGAGCTGCCAATCTACATATGTGTGTGTGTGTATCTGATCTCACTCAGCCTTATAACCTGAATCTCTCACTCACTGCTGTTTGAATTGAGAAAGCTCCTCGGGTGAGGAGCCAAACGTCTTCTGTTACAAATAAAGTCCAGTTGTTTTTGTATTGAATGTTTTTTGAATTCATCATGTCCTGGATGACTGAGAATCTTCACCAGCATCTTGCCATCGCGGTTCAGTCCTTCCAGCCTCGGGCTCAGGTGGCAGCTGTCTCCATGATCCTCCATCTGCCTGCACGGACCGAACTCTACGGACCATGTAGTCCGTAGAGTTCGGTCCGTTCTGTGGGGAAACCTGGATGTTCTGTGGGGAAACCTGGATGTTCTCCATCTGCCGAACCCGGTTCTGGAGGGCTGTATGGGAGGGCAGCTGCTGCCGTCATTGTTGCCATCAGTGTGCTGACGGGACCTGCTAACTAGATCTGCTAACCTGCTAATGCTGCTAACAAGATCCTCCGTTTGCCTGATTGGACTGAACTCTGTGGACCCCGCTTGGTTCTGCGGGGAAACCTGGATGTTCTCTGTCTGCTGGACCTGGTTCTGGAGGGCAGTCTGGGAGGCAGCTGCTGTGGTCCTTATTGTCATCATTCTGCTGAAGGGACCTGCTAACAAGACCTGCTAACGTTGCTAACAACACCATGCCGCTAACAGTATCCTGCTGCTTAATCAACCAATCAATTCAACTTTATTGTCCATAACATTCAAAGAAATGGAGATTTGTCTTTGACATCTGGCTTATAAAAACACCACAAGATAAAAATGTGATTAAAAAAATTACATTGGATTACTGGACCATGTTGCTAAGAGAGCCTCACTGTCATCAGAACCACTCTGCCAATAGGACCATGCTGCTGTAGATTTAGTTCTTTTTCACTCTTGGTGCCTTGTTTCTGTATTTTTGTTGCATGCTTTGAATAAATCCCAGTTTGTTAGTTTAGTTTATGTTAGTGCTCGCATTAAGCGTGTAAATTATAGCCAAACAGAACCTATGAGAACTGTGCTGCTGTTGTTGTTTGGTGTATTGTTTTGCATTATTAATTAAATTAAATTCAATTCAGTTTATTTATATAGCTCCAAATCACAACAAATTTGTCTCAGGGCACTTTACTGGAACATTCATATACATAAAAAAGACAATTAGTAAAATTCTTTATCTAAGGAAGCAGCAGACAAGTTGAATCTTGGCTTTGTTGCAGTCTCCCATTAGTGATTGGCATATATCTTAAATCTTTTTGCGTACCGCTTGGCGTTCGTTTAGCGTATATCTTAGTTTATATCCCAGATCCAAATCAGATTACTGTTTCTTTTTACACTTTATATTTTTGCTACCCTGTGTACACAATTTCATTCCACTACATTTACCACATGTGATGCCAATGACAATAAAAAATCTCTGACTGACTGAATCTGATCTACGCCAGAAAGTAGCTGCTGTGACGGACATCAGCGAGGGCCTGGTGACCGGGTCTCTACCCATGGGGCCCAGTTGGGCACAGTCCAAGGAGCAGCATGGGATTGCCTTCCTGTGGGCCCACCACCTGCAGGAAAGGCCATAAAAGTCGGGTGCATGATGCCATAGGCAGTGGCCAAAGGCGGGGACCTTGGTGCTCTGACCCTGGCTTACCAAAGCTGGCTCTTGTAACATGGAATGTGACCTCTCTGATAGGGAGGAAGCCTGGGCATTTTCCCTGGTAGATGAGAGGGTGGCTTCCCTTCGCCTTCAGTTTGGGGGACGGGCTCTGACTGTGTCTATGTGCCAAACGGCAGTTCAGAGTATCTGGCCTTCTTGGAGTCCTTGACAGAGGTGCTGGAAGGTGTGCCAGCTGGGGACTCCTTTATTCTGCTGGGGGACTTCAATGCCCACGTGGGTAATGACAGTGTGACCTAGAGGGACATGATTGGGAGGAACGGCCTCTCTGATCTGAATCCAAGTGGTATTCTGTTGTTGGACTTCTGTGCTAGTCATAATTTGTCCATGACGAACACCATGTTCAAACATAAGGGTGTCCATAAGTGCACTTGGCACCAGGATGTCCTAGGTCGTACATCTATGATTGACTTCATAGTCGTGTCACCTGATTTGCGGCCATTTATTTTGGACACTCGGATGAAGAGAGGAGCTGAGCTGTCAACTGATCACCACATGGTAATGAGTTGGACCTACTGGGTCTATCAGGGGGAAAATGCTGGACAGACCTGGTAGACCCAAACATGTAGCGAGGGTTTGCTGGGAACACCTGGCAGTAGAACCTGTCAGAGAGATCTTTTACGCACACCACTGGGAGAGCTTTAACTGCATCCCAGCTGAAGTGGTGGACATTGAGTATGAGTGGGCCATGTTCCACGCCTCGCTTGTTGAGGTAGCTGCCTTGAGCTGTGGCTGCAAGGTTGTCGGTGCTTCTTGCGGTGGCCATCCACGAACTCTGTGGTGGACACCCCAGGTTAGGTAGGCTGTCAAGCTGAAGGAGTTCTATTGGGCCTTGTTGGCCAGTGAGACTCCAGAGGCAGCTGAGGAGTACTGGAGGGCCAAGCACGCCGCAGCCTTGACTGTTGCTGAGGCAAAGGCTTGGATGTGGGAGGAGTTCGGTGAGACCTTGGGTAGACTCTCGTTCGGCTTTGAAGAAATTCTGGCAAACCAACAGGTGGCTGAGGAGGGGAAAAAAGCACTTCACTAACTAACACTGTGTTCAGTGAAGGTGGAGTGCTGTTGACCTCAACCAGTGATGTCGTCAGGAAGTGGAAGGAATACTTCCCGGGCCTTCTGAATCCCACCAGCACATCTTCCATGGAGGAAGCTGAGTCGGGGGACTTTAAGGTGGATCCGTCTATAACTGTGGCTGAGGTCGCTGAGGTCATTAAAAAGCTCCAAGGAAGCAGAGCCCCGGAAGTGGATGACATTCACCCTGATTAAAGACGACTATTCACAAAAACAGATTGATTGTATTTGCATACAGTAAGTTGGCAAAAACCAATGCAGACATGTTCCTGTTTTTAGTATTCTACATCACTATAATGTAGCTGTTTTTGTTTCTTTTTTTATATAATTTTCTTCCATTTATATTTTCAATTTATATGCCTTCTTTTATGATTGTCTACTGTTGTCATTATTCTATTTTTAAAACCAGGTCTCTCCTGTAAATGAGTCCTTGATGCTCAATGAGACTAACCTGTAGAAGTAAAGGTTGAATGAATGTATGAAAAAAGTTAGCTGCTTGGACATGTGACCGTACTCTGTGTTGTTGTGTTCAAACGATTTGTAATCAGAGCGTAAATGTGTCATGCAGCAAGTCTCTACACCAACAGTTTTTCTCACCTCTATACAAATGTGGTGCAACCCACCAGACTTGTTCTTCTGTAGGAAACCAGAGATGGGGCTTTTCTCCCCCAGAGGATGGAGCAGCTCCAGCTTCGTGTTGCTCAGCTCCACAAACACGGTGTAGACACCGTGCTCAGGCAGGGGGATTCTGTCGCTCACCGTGGCACAGAGGACATCTCGGTACAGGGCTGTGGCCTTGTCCATGTCAGGAACAGCGATGGCTATGTGGTTCAGTTTACCCAGCTTCCACAGGGACCGAGGAACACTCTGATGAAGGGATGCTGTTGTTGAATGTGCCCTCAGGAGCGAGACGTGAGAACATCTGGATATTCCTGTCACTGAATAAACAATATGATATTAAAAACGTAGTGTCTAGATAAGAAAGTCAGTCTTAAAAGGAACATTTACATTTGCTTTGCTCTTTATTTCAGGGTTAAACAACATTGTCCTTTGTTTAGAAAGCCTCACTACTGTTTTAACATATATATTCTAGAGATGTACTTTGTATTAAAGGTATAGTAAATAAAGCTGGACAACAACAAAAAGTAGAATGAAAGAATCAACATATGCACAGATTTTTTCTAATATCAATGGTTAATAATATGTACCTAAATTAAAACGTTGTAGACAAATTTGTGTACGGATGAAAACTACCACCTATGTTTGTTTACCTATCGAAACAGCCATTTACTGAAAATACTTTGGATTTATCAGCCATATTAGTTTAGCTACACTGACTATGGCCAGAATAATGTAGGTCAGTCACGTGACTCAAGGTTCCACATGATTTTCAACATGTTCGACAGAGAATGTTTTTTTTGTGTGTGTTGTTTGCTTTTATTTTGTAGGTTTATTGTTTATAATTCTGTACAGCACTTTGAGTTGCTTTTCAATTCAATTCAATTCAAAAATACTTTACTAATCCCAAAGGGAAATTAATTGTTGTTGTAGCTCATCTTGGTTTTATTAGTTGTTCTAGATGCTGATGGTTTTGGGCAGGAAGGATCTCTTGTAGCGGTCCATCCTACAGCAGATTTGAATAAACTGGATGCAGATGCCGATTCGTCCACTCAGACCCAGCTGACCTCTCGTCCTCTTGGGCAGCAGGACTGCCTGAAGGCAAGGTAGAACTCCTTCCCAAGCGATGCCCATTTCTCCCAGCAGCCTGCAGAGTCCCTCATCACCATGGACTTAACTGCAGGTGCCGGGGGACGATCTCGGTCCTCTCGCTGTCACGAGCAATGTTTCCCGCTACCTCCAAGATCTCGGCGGTCAGGCACTCAAGCAATGGTACTTCCTCCAGTTATTTAACAGTCAACAGTGGTGTACCACAAGGCTCAGTGTTAGGACCCACCCTCTTTACAATCTACATAGGTAATGTAGATCAAAACATTCCTAATGCATCCAAACATTTCTATGCTGACAACACGGTTGTTTATTGTCGAGCTAAAACAGTTAAGGCTTTCCAGCTTTTGAAATCTGCATTCACCTACATCCAGACAGATTTGTTCCGCCTCAAACTTGTCCTAAATGCCGACAAAAACAAAGCGATGCTTTTTTCAAACAGGAAGTTGGTCCCAGCAGTTCTGATTTCAACCTCAAATGGTGTCCCCATTGAGTTTGTTGATTCCTATAAATATCTGGGTATCTTGGTCAACTCACATCTCTCTTTTAAGCTCCATGTGGAAAACCTGGTAAAGAAACTGAAAGTTAAACTGGGTTTCTTTTTCAGAAACAGATCCTGTCTAACCCTGAATGTTAGGAAACACCTTGTATCTGTGACTTTCCTCCATTGATTACGGTGACATTATTTACATGAACGCTCCTACAAGAACCCTGCAGATGTTGGATGCTGCAGATGTTGGATGCTGCAGATGTTGGATGCTGCAGATGTTGGATGCTGCAGATGGTGGATGCTGTCTATCATGGTGCACCAAGATTCATAACTGGCTGTGATTATCGTACCCACCACTGCACCCAGTATTCACTGGTTAACTGGTCACCATTAACTTCACACAGACTCTCTCACTGGTACATTTTCATCTTTAAATCACTTCCTGGTCTGCTGCCTTCATACATCTCCTCCTACATGTCTCTGTGTGAGTGCAGCTACAGCGTGCACTCTCAGGACATCATTACCTGCAGTGTTCCCTCAGTGAGGACTGAACTAGACAAAAGGACCTTCTCCTACTCCGCTCCTGTTTCCTGGAACATCTTGTAAAAAGACCTGAAGCTCTCGACCTTTGACCTCTCTAAGTGTCTTTAAGAATCTGTTGGACTCCTGGCAGGGACCAATGCAGACATGTTCCTGTTTTTAGTTTTCTACATTCGCCTTAGAATCTAGCTGTTTTTTGTTACTTTTTTGTCCATCTTATTTGTAAAAAAAAAAAAAATGAAAGTTATATATATGTATGCCTTTTTGTGGCTGTCTATTCTTGTCACTGTTGTCCATTGTTGTCATCATTCTTTGTTAAATCAGGTCTCTCTTGTAAATGAGTCCTCGAGGCTCAATGGGATTACCCTGTCTAAATAAAGGTGGAATGAAAAAAAAAGGTTTCAGTACAAGTCCTTCCAGCGGCACAGCATCTGATATCAGAGGAAGTAATCGGCTGAAAAAAGCAATTTGCATCCAGAAAAAATAGTAATTAAAGTTTTCAAAAGCAAAATCTCGGAATGAATGTAAAGAGCTGCTCCAACATGCAGCCACATGGAGCGGCGCAATTCTGGAGGATTTAAGTATGAAAGGTGCTTTATAAATAAAATTGATTTATTGATCGATTGATTCAGCCACTTGCTTTAAATGCGGACCCGCATTTCAGAATTGAAAATCAGAAAACGAATACAATTCAGGATACTTTGTTTGATTTAATACTTTACAGTCAGTCACTTGTTTTACACACAGCTCCTGACATTTAGAAACTGCGGAAACAGTTTTTATTAATTTTACTAAAATAAGGTTGTGTGTTTGGATCACGTATGAATATGAATGTGTGTACACACATACACACACTTTTAAACAAACAAATAAAGCAAGGACTAATGAAACGCCCGTTAGCACAGCTGAAATTAGCGACGCTAAAATTTGTCTGAATTTCAATGACAAGTAGAACAATCATATTTAGGTTTGAGATGACAGAATACGTTAAATAAAATGTTAACGTTGCAGTTACATATTTCTGTCGACATAAACCAACCTGCAACCTTCAGCATCGACGACGCCATGTTTTGATTGCCTCGGAACTATGCTGAGGCACAGGACGAGTTTCTGATCGAGCCTGTTTAGTTGCGACACAGAGAAACGGCCAGTCGTCAGTTGGCTACACATGTGTAGCAAGCATGGCTAATAATGGAGATATGTGGTGGGTGCTGGAGGACTGTGTGAAGATAATAAAAGCTAACACGGCACAGCCAGAGAAGTTTTTAAGGCAAGTGTTCCTTTCTTCTTTTTTATTTCACTTTATTTTTTTTACGAAGGAGCGATTTATTGATCGCTAACTATCGTGTAATGCTAACGCTAGCAAAAACTTAAACATCTCATAAGAATTGAAGGAGTCCAACAATTTTCAGTCATGTCATCTGGACAGTTTCTTTTTTTTTTCTGAAACGTTTCACTTTCCATCGGGAAGGCTTCCATTCTGAAGCCTTCCACGTATATATATATATATATATATATATGTATGTATGTATGTATGTATGTATGTATGTATGTATGTATGTATGTATGTATGTAATGTATGTAATGTATAGAATAGAATAGAATAGAATAGAATAGAATTCAACTTTATTGTCATTGCACATGTCACAGGTACAAAGCAACGAAATGCAGTTTGCATCTATCCAGAAGTGCTTAGCAAGAAAAATAAATTGGTAGATATATATAGTACAATATACAGTAAGTTGCTTTGAATATGCTATAGGTATAAATATATACAGGTTGTGAGTGTACAGACTATGAATATGTTATAATATGAAGGGGTAGAAACAGCTATATAAAGAAGAAATATATATATATAAGTATGTGAGTACTTATGAACAGTAGATAGTAGATTATGTGTACAGTTTGTACAGTAGTGGGCTAACGGATGAAAGTGCAGGTGGTGGTGTTACAGTCCATGTGCTGTTGTTGTGTGTATGAGAATACAGACCGTTGTAGTTATTCAGATGTCAGGAGGCAGAGTTAAGGAGTGTGACAGCTGTGGGGAAGAAGCTGTTCCGGTACCTGGTGGTTTTAGTCCGGAGGCTCCTGTAGCGCCTCCCAGAGGGCAGGAGGGTGAAGAGTCTGTGTGCTGGGTGGCTGAAGTCTTTTGTGATTTTTCCAGCCCTTTTCAGACACCGCTTCCTGTAGATGTCCTTTATGGCAGGAAGTGGTGATCCGGTGATGTGTTGGGCGGCTTTCACCACCCTCTGCAGCGCCTTCCGGTCTGAGGCAGAGCAGCTCCCGTACCAGACTGTGATGCAGTTGGTCAGGATGCTCTCAATGGTGCAGCGGTAAAAGTTCACCAGGATGTCTGAGGACAGGTGGTTCTTCCTCAGAGTCGCTGGTGAGCTTTCTTGATCAGTTTGGAACAGCCGGTCGTCCAGGTGAGATCCTCGGAGATGTGGACACCCAGGAACTTGAAGCTGTTCACACGCTCCACCACCGCCCCCTTGATGTAGATGGGTGGATGTGGGCCAGCGTTCCTCCTGAAGTCCACGATGAGCTCCTTAGTCTTCTCGGTGTTGAGCAGCAGGTTGTTGTTGTCACACCACTCAGCCAGACGAACCACCTCCTCCCTATAAGCGGTCTCATCGTTGTCTTTGATGAGGCCGATCACCGTGGTGTCATCTGCAAACTTAATGATGGTATTGGAACCATCAACAGGTTTGCAGTCATGGGTGAAGAGGGAGTAGAGGAAGGGACTCATCACACAGCCTTGTGGTACACCGGTGTTAATAGTGATGATATATGAGCAGTGGTTATCCAGCCGGACATGTTGGGGTCGGTTGGTCAGAAAGTCCAGTAACCAGTTGCCCATGAGGGAACTGATGCTGTGAGTTTTGTGATGAGTTTTGAGGGGATGACTGTGTTGAATGCTGAACTAAAATCTATGAACAGCATCCGGGCAAAGATGTTTTTGTTGTCCAAGTGTGAGAGAACAGAGTGCAGCGCTATGGAGACTGCATCCTCTGTGCTCCTGTTCTGGCGGTATGCGAATTGGTGGGGGTCCAGGGTGGGGGGGAGACAGGATTTGAGGTGTACTAGGACCAGCTGCTCAAAACACTTTGCGATGATGGAGGTGAGGGCTACCGGACGGTAGTCGTTGAGTCTTGATGGTTTTGAGTTTTTGGGTATTGGGACGATGGAGGTGGTTTTGAAGCAGGTTGGTACCACAGCACGGGCCAAGGACAGGTTGAATATGTCCGTCAGTACTCCTGCCAGCTCCCCAGAACACGCTCTAAGAACACGTCCAGGGATGCCATCAGGACCCGCAGCCTTGTGAACTTTAATCCTGCTCAGCGCCGCTCCTACATCGGTGGGGAAAAGAGTCAGTGGTTGGTGGTCTGGAGACACATCTGCCTTAGTTGTAGTTGTTGGGTTCCCTCTCTCAAAACGAGCATAGAAATTGTTGAGCTCATTGAGGAAGGAAACATCAGAGGAGACGGGGGAGGGGTTGATGGCCCTGTAATCTGTAATGATCTGGAGTCCTTGCCACATACGTTGGGGGTTGGAGTTTGAGAAGTGTTCTTCTATCCTCCCCTTGTAGTGGTGCTTGGCCTTTTTGATGCCCCTCTTCAGCTCAGCCCTGGCTGTACTATAGGCCTGTGTATCCCCTGACCTGAAGGCGATGTTGTGAGCCTTCAGCAGTAGACGTACATCCCGATTCATCCAAGGCTTCTGGTTGGGGTACATGGTGATCTGTTTCTGGGTGGTGACACTGTCTATAGTGGTGGAGATGTGGTCCAGCACAGATGAGGCGTACTGTTCCAAGTCGGTGTGAGTGAACATAT